CAGAACAGTGCACAGCAATGTGTTAGACTGGGGCTGAGCCCAGGCCCTCAGACCTGGGGAAACTGCAACCCCCAACCCTGTGTGTGAGCCCCACATGCTGGCTGAAAACCCTGTACCCGCTACCCTGTACCTGCATCCCTCTGCCCCACACCCACTGACCCAGGCTGGCATCAACAAGCCCTGTACTGGGCCTTTGCAACTGGGCTCTCACACTGGCCCCATTCCCAGACTGCTTTTACCCGGCAGGTGAATGCAACTCAGCCACCAGGGAGCAGAGGCCCAGTGGTGCTTGGAAGGGACCCTTATCCATTCTGCCCCTGCCCCCCACACCTGGGGCTGAAGCCAGATATGGAGGAGCCAGAGGAAGCAGGGCGTGTGAGTGGGGGCAGTGGTTCTCCAGCTCAGGGCTCATGGCTTCTCTCCTAGTGCTGTGCTTGGTGGCCATAGTTGCATAGTAATGAGTTGAAGTGCCCTTGCTGGCAGTGGGCTGGAGGCAGGCCACCCCACACTCCAAGAAGAGGCAGGAGCCCCTCGTCTGCCCCATAGCCCACAGCACAACAGAGGAAAGGGCTGCTCGATGCGATTTTTGGTACAAGATGCTGTGAAAAGTAATAAGGGGCTGCCTTGAAATGAATCAGTTGCCTTCCCAGCAGTAACAAGCAGCCTCCAAATCCTGCCCACTAGGAAGAATTTCCCTCCAAGGGTACAGATCATGGCTAGGGGACAGAACTACAAGTTCCACAAGCCTTTGAGGCAGAAGGCCCCAGCTGCAGGGCACAGCTGTGTGGGGAAAAAGGAGTTTCCCAGCATCTTCTATCACACTGGGTGTGTTCAACCCCAGCCTGACCACTTTGTCCCTGCCCTCAGCCACCAGCCTGCCAGCCCTAGACAGAGGGACTGATGCCCTCCTATTCCACGAGCCTGGCTGGGGAGGGCAATACCACACATCCATTCCACACCCTCCCACTTCCCCGTGACCCTGACACAGCTCCAGCCTACACTCCCCAGCCTCTTGGGATGTCCAACAGTCCAGTCAGCTCTGCAGGACCTATTCAGCCTTGGTAACCCTACTTTAGAGTGGCACCCAGCTGATCTCTTGCACAGCAATACCAGCTGGGCACTGGGGTTCACAGAGGTGGACAAAAATTGGTCAGAGGTATATTTTTCACAGCCTTAGGGTTCTGATACTAGGGAACAGGGCTGAGTCCTGAGCATGCCATGGTGGAGGGGAGGGACCTGTCCTGCCCACTCCCCTCTCCAAGTCTTGCCAAGGTGCCCAGACTTCTTCCTGGTGAGTGGCAGTGATCCTTCCCATGAGAAGGGATGAAGAAGGGGATGGGAGGGCCTGGACTCCGGTGGGGAGGGCCCAGATCCTGAGATTGCCATGATTCAAGCCACGCTGTTGCTCCCGCACTCCTGATGGCTCCTTGTAAAGTGCGTGAGTTGGTGAGGAAGAAGGGGTGTGCAGAGACAGGGAGGAAGCCAGGGGGGTCCTGAGTCCTCCTTAGCCCCAGCCCACCCCGTGGAAGTAGAGCAGGCTCACGCTCCTGCCTCCACCCCTGCAGCGGCTCAGTAATGCCAGCTGGGGAAGAGGCCCGAAGCCAAAGGGGCCAGGGACTTGATTAAAGCAAAAAGGCAGAAGCAGAAGAAGGGTGGGGAAGGCTGGGCCATTTGTCATAGTGGCCGGGGTCCGTGCAGCCCAGCCACCTCAGGGGTAAGTAGTGGGTTGTGGGTCCCTTTTGTAGACATCCAGTCATTAAGAAAGGCTTGGGTGGCTTTGCGGTGCGCCAAGCGGTGGGTGATGGAGAACCCGGCATTGCCTTCCAGCTGGGACAGGATCACCAGCACTTGCCTGTGAGGAAAGAGGAGTTAATGCCTGGTCTGGCAGGGACACCCCAAACCTAATGCTGCGGGCAAGGGGACACAGTCATGTGGACTCCCTCACCAGGCTCTGCCTCTGTGGGGATTCCTTGGCCAGGGTGTTGGCGGGATGGGGTGGTTTCTCCAGCTAGGCTGGGCCCTGTGGGTTAGCCTCTGGTCAAACCATTGGCACAAGACTCTGTTGCTTCATGGGAGTTTGTGGCCCATGGCCCCACCTCTGGCAGTCTCTATGGATTTCTCCACCCCACTCTTGCCCTGCAAGCCCCCCATGCTCTCTCACCGGTGCAGAGGTGGCACACTGTCCTGGGTCTTCAGGCTGCCCCGCGTGGACACAACATTGAAGCTGTCTGTGCAGTCGCACTGGACATGCAGGTAGGACTTGGGGTGCCGGTTCTCCACCACCACAATGAGCCCTGCCCAGCCGTGCGTCAGGTAGTAGCAGGTCATCCCCTCACGGCCCTGCCAGGAGCAAATCTGCAGTCAGGTACACAGGTCCCTTCCCCTCCCCCACTGCATGGCCAGAGCACCACAGCTCAGCTGGCTTGCAGTGCCAGCCTCAGAACTGCAATGGGGAAGGCTGATAACCCTTTTTTCTCCTTTTTAAGCAAATTTTTTTGTGTCCCCAATCAAATTAGCCAGATCAGGTCCAAATCCATTTGAATGATCCAAGAATCATATGTAGCTCTGCTACCGGCAAGTATCCTCCACCCCAGCTTGGGGCTTCAGATACATCCAAATCCCTTGGCAGGCATCCTACGTGCAGGCCCAAGCCCAGAGACTTGGGGTTTGGATGCCCCTGAGTTTCACTTTCCCTCAGCCATATGGCTGCTGGAGCAAGCTATGGAGGAGGCTCTCGTAGGGAGTCCTGTCTACAAGCAGACAAGGGTGAAAACTCCACTACACAAAGCCAATTGTGAGGCACCTACTTGGTCAGGTATTCTCCCCTGCCACCTTTGTGGTCTTAATGACTGCTCCAGGGAACTCCTGGCACCCCGGTGGCACCCAAGGCATCAGTCCTGCACTCAGTGCACCAACTCAGGGCCTGACCCTCCTCAGGACACAGGGTCAGACAGATGGGCACTTCTGGGGCCCAGCACTGTCCTGTGCACTCCATTTCCCATGCTTGCCACTTCCCAAGACTAAACCCACTCACTTTCCCTGTCACTGCTGTCTGGGTGCCCTGCCCACATCTCCAGAAGCCTGAGCTGCCTCCACCCTAGGGGCATATGGCCTCCTACCAACTGCCACCCCCTGGCTGGGGCACCCTGAGCATACCACTGAGCTGTACCTGCAGAAGACAGAAAATCCTCTGCACCATCCTGCTCATGACACCCCAGGCTGAGGTTGAAGCAGGGGGTGAGTTGTACTGCAAAGAACCTTTCAAGGGTTTTGACTGACATAGAAGGGTCTGGTTTTCCTCAACCAGGGGCAGGCTCCTTAGCTGGAGGGATCAGGGACAGTAGGGGACACGAGTGGTGACTGGGTCATGAAAGACAGGGAGAAGAAGGGGCAAAGCCAGCAGTCTTCAGCTATGCAGGGGCTGCACTCAGTGACCCCAGAGGTCTCAGGTTCCTACAGCTCTGGTCTCACGCCGGTGACACAGGCTGGTCCATCGGTGCCATCTAGTGGCACCCTAAGGAGGTGCACGTCTGCCCTGCTGGCAGTATGGCAGGGTCAGAGGCACCCAGCCCAGACCAATGGTACACCCCCAGGGCATGGCTTTCCTGCCCCACTGCAAAGTGCTTCTGCAGGGTGCCCTGGCTCAGCTGCAACCCTCTCCCACCCTGGGGCCCAGGTAGGCATTACCTACCTCGTGCCGTTCACCCTTGTTCTCCGTCAGCAGGATGATGGCATCGGCCAGCGTGGTGGGCTGTGCTTCAATCTGCTCCACCATCACCAGGCGTGAGCTGTAGATGGCCAGGATGTAGCTGGAGGAGTCGGCTGTGGTGCGCCCGCTGCTGCTGGTGGGGCTAGAGACTGGGGAGACACAGATGGATTCGGGGGGCGCACTACCAGGTCCCCACTTCCTGGGATCATCTCTGGGATTCCTGTTAACTGCTGCCACATAAAGCCAACAGCCACTAACTCTAA